CCTACAGAATGAGCTGCTGCTAACAGTACAAGGAAGAAGGAAGTCTCCATTCTGAGTACATATGGGGAAGTGTGAGAAATTCCCTATCCACAAAAGGTCCCAATACCAAAAAAAAAAAAAATTCATTTATAAGTTTACTGTTTAGGAATTGAAAACATTACAAATGATTTTGTTATTACCCAGAAAGTGAAAACAAAGATGCTTCATATAGGAATAATAATCCTTGGGTCAACTAATCTGATCCTCTCATTTTATAATTTAGTTCAGGGAGGTTGATTTTTCCAGAGTAATACAACCAGTTTGAAGTAAACTTAGAGACAATTCAAGTTTCTGAACTTTGAGTTCATGTTATGTCTTCTCTTGCCTTTTATTTCATACATAAATCCTGCTCTGAGAAAATATTTATTGTATAATAATAATATAGCCAAATACTTTACATTTGCACTGAAAACAATAACTGTCTAACCCTTGGCAAATGAATTTTTAAAAAATCAGTCATCTCCTAACTTTCCTAATCTCTATGAAATCAAAGAAATCTTTATTTACAGATATTCAGATAAATTATTCGCCACTATTTACAAAAAGAGTAAGACATTAATTATAACAATTACCTAAGCAACTAGCTTTGTTCTTTCAACATTTTAAGAGCACAGAATTTCCAATGTTTTAATTAATCCAAGAGTTTTAGGTTGCTTCTCTTCACCTCAGTACCTCTCTGACCCACCAGTTCTTGGCCTGTCCTCCAGTGGGTAAGTCATGGAGATGAGCTGCTGGTATTCTTGCCCAACCACAATGAATACCCTACAAATAACTGCTAAAATTTCAATTGTCCCCTGATGGATGATTAGGGAAGAATCTTGGCCAGTGCTTCTCAGACTTTCATAAACCTAAGAACCACCAGGGATCCTCATTAAAAATACAGATTTCTGCCCCTCATTCTAATTTGCCAGGTCTGAGGTGGGCCTAGAAATAAACATTTTAAATAAGGACACCAGGTGATTCCTGTTGCAAGGGCACTTGTGGACACACTAGAAAATAGCAATGCTGACTTGGGAAGCTGAATATGTTCTTAACATCAGCCCACTGAGAACTTCTACAATAAATATAGTGTAAAATATCTGTCTATGAATTCAAAGGTTTAGTTGGGAGCATTTGAGCTTTGAATCTGAAATAAACTAATAAAGGGAAGATAGCCAGAGAAGAAGCATGAGCTGAGAATTGTCCCCTCCCCTTGGTCCCTTTCACATCCAGACCTATAGACTGCTAGTACCCCATTCCCACTCCCTCTAACATCTGCCATCTTAACATACTATCTGGACCCAAATTGTGGTCATATAGATTTAGGGTTAGCGGGGCACTGAGACCAGATTTAGGTCCATACTAATAAAGTGGAAAACGTTATAGACAAGGGGTATGGGTTAAAAAAAAAAAAAAGATTTGAAAACCAGAAAAATAGAGAAAAAGCCTGAGCCTAAAGTGAGGCCGAGTCAGTGATGGGGGGCAGTGAGAGTGGGTAGAGAGACAGAGAAGGCTTTACTTTGCTGCTGTCAGTTGGACATTCCATTCAACTGCCCCTGGCAGGAATTCTAGTCCACTGAGCATGCCCAGTTGGTGTGAGTGACTTTCACCAAGTAGAACAATCAGCAAGATCACCACAAAGGCTTTATCAACACCAGGCCAGTGAAGAGGCCACTGAAAATCACTCCCACATTTGTGATCAATGGACCCAAGTTTAGAAAGAAGAGCTCCTTTGGTCTACAAAAATGGTTTGAATTCCAGTCTCTAATTTCTTCCTTCTTAGATACTCTGGTCTCCACCAAAGGAACAATAGTCGGTGAGATGCAGCCATTTTGTTGGTCAGCAGGAGGTCAGAAGCAAGAAAATGGCATAGAGGTAGAATACAGCACCGTCCTCTTCAACAGCAGCCCATTGCTGGAAGCTTCCAGATCACTGTGCCGACCAAGTGGAGGAGGGACTTTCATTTAGAAAACCTTATGTGAATCTTGTACAAGAAACTTGCTAACCTGCTTCTTTGATTTTTAGCCTTACTATTTCCGACACTTAGGTGATACTCTTAGGGAGCCTGCAAAAGCCAAGATATGACTCAGGGCATGGAGGAATCTGTAGGTAAGCAACATGGTATCTTAAGGAATTAGGTGTTTTATGTCCATGTGACCATATGCATATGTGGGGTGGGGGATAGTATGTGTCATTGTGGGAGGTCTGTAAATCTTAAAGGTTTTATGAAAAGCTATACTAAAGTAAGATTGTCTCTCTCTACTCTTCTTTTATTCTAAAATAATAAACTCACACTGATTATAAACAACCAATGATAGACTAAGAGGCTGAGAGATGATTGTGCCTAACCTTCTTTAAAAATATATAGTCTAAGAAAAAGTTGAAAACCACATGCTGTCACTCGTATGTGGGATATAAAACTGAAAGCAACAAACAAACATGACAGAGACTCATGGACACAGACAGTGGATTAGTGGTTACCAGAGGGAAGGGTGGTAAGGGGGGAAGTAAATAGGCATTAAAAAGGTCAAAAATTTGGTGACAATCAGAAATCTAACTCTGGATAGTGAATACACAATGCAAAATACATATACATGATTTACTATTGAATGATACACTTGAAACTTATTTGATTTTGTTAATACCACCCCAATAATTTTTAATTTTAAAAAAAACTATATAGCCTTAAATACTGGAAGAATACTTTGGAAATATTTTACCCCAATCTCCAATTATGGTTGCCTTTCTGCTTTGCCAAAAAAGACTGCTAATAGACTGTATTCTCTGATTTAGAGGCTTATGGGAAATCACCACCTCCTAAAGTATCTCTCCTACCAACTTGTCATGTGGCCTAAAATTGTTCTATTTCTTTGACTCAGATTTTTTTTTCCAGTTTTCCAGAGAGCTTTATTCAAATATAAATATTCCTGGAGAGTTCAAGTCAAAAACTTTTAGGTCATTATCAGAAAAGAGCAATGTTCTATGGGCATGGACCACAGAGGGGCCTAGCAAGA